TGGGGGCTCTGGGGACAAGGGTGGGCTGTGGGGGACTTTAGGGACTGGGGCACATTGGAGTGGGGGGCTCTGGGGACCGGAGCACATCAGGACAGTGGGGGCTCAGCAGGATGAAGTCCCCAGCCCCCTGTGTGGGGTGTGACAGGGTGGGGGTCTCAGCCCGTGTCCCCAGCCCCCTGTGTGGGGTGCAGGGTGGGGGTCTCAGCCCGTGTCCCCCCCCTCCAGGGACAGCCTGCTGCTGGAGGCCGGCTTCCTGGCCGTGCTGGTGGCCCCCCTGCGGCTGCTGAGGGGGGGGTCCCCGGCCTGGAGACCCCACGACGCCGTCACCTTCTGGGCCGTGCGCTGGCTGCTCTTCCGCCTCATGTTCGCCTCGGGGGTGGTGAAGCTCACCAGCCGCTGCCCCACATGGTGGGGGCTCACAGGTGATGGGGGCAGCTTTGGGGGGCTCACAGGTGAGGGGTGCAGCTTTGGGGGGCTCAGGCCTTCGCCTGGAATTGCAGTGAATTATTGGGAAGTAGGTTTATGGAAAGTCCCCCTTCAAGCCCCCCTCCCCAGTTCTGAGGTACCGTTTTATTTGGATTTTTCTGCAAGGAAGCCTCTCCTAATTTAGCATTGATTTAATTCCATAATAAGGAAAATTTCCATTCCCGGAATTCCAGGGGATTGTTGGGGAGTAGATTATGGAAAACCCCACTGAAACCCCCTGTGCCCCCCAGCCCTGACGTACCACTACGAGACCCAGTGCATCCCCACGCCGGGAGCCTGGCTCGCCCACCAGCTGCCCGTGTGGTTCCAGAAGCTCAGCGTGGTGGCCACCTACGTCATCGAGGTGGCCGTGCCCCTGCTGTTCTTCGCTCCCCTGCGCCGCCTGCGCCTCTTCGCCTTCTACTGCCAGGTGGGGAGGGGGCTCCTGGGGCTGGGGGGGCTCCTGGGGGGCTCCTGGGGCTGGGGGTGCTGGTGGTCACTCTGCATTTCGGGTGGGGTGTGTCCAGTTCCTCCCTAGTTTTGTCCTGTGGCCATCCCAGTCCTGTGATCACCCCCACTTACACTCTGTGCCCCCTGTCATGCCGGGGGGACCCCAGGGAGCTTCTCAGGGTGTGGGGTTCCTCGCTCTGGGGGTGCTGGAGGTGGGGGGTGTCCCATGTGAGCAGCCCTGTGACCCCATGGGTCCCTTTGTGCCCCCCTTTGTGCCGGGGGTGTCCCCATGGGGGTCTGGGCTTGGCTCCTCGCTCTGGGCACTGGGAGAGGAGGTGCCCACACTGGTGGTGCTGGTTGGGGTGTGCCCGGTGTCCCCTGACCCCGTGACACCCCCAGACCTCACCGTGTCCCCCCTCCAGGTGCTGCTGCAGGTCCTCATCATCCTCACGGGCAACTACAACTTCTTCAACGTGCTGACCATCGTGCTGGCCCTGTCCCTGCTGGATGAGGAGCACGTGGGGCGCTGGCTGGGCCGGCCCCGCAGGAGGCACGGCTCTGGTGAGACCCCACTTGGGGCTGGGGCCTTCCCGGGGGGACTGGGGATGTGGGAGATGATGGAAATGGGGGTCCCACACCCGCCCCAGGGCAGGGGCTGTGCTCGTGGGAGACCCCAGGGATGTGGGGCTCAGCAGTGGGATCCGGGAATGGTTGGGGTGGGATGGGGACTTCAATCCCATCCCCATTCCAGCCCCCATGGGATGGGGCAGGGACACCTCCTGCTGTCCCAGGGGGCTCCAA